GCAGCTCCCCTCAAATAGAATTCTTTTTTGCTTCCTCATATATATCAATCACAAGGATTTTATTTGTTCCTTCTTGTCTTGCGATTAAAGAAGAAAATCAAATTTTTGTTTAATTGGTTTCATATTTTATATAAATATATACTCCGTACAATATATATAGATACAACATAGAAGAAAAAACACAGGAGCTTCAAAATAGATGGAGCCGCAGGGACCGCCAAGGCAGGCGGTGCGGCTACCTTCTCCAGCAATCCCAATTGGCCGGTTAAATCTGATCAGACGAAGTTTTTGATAAACATCGGCTTCATCGAGAATAATTTGTGGCAGTTCTGGAGTTCACGTTATCTCTTCGGTTTTCAACTTCCGCCTAATTTTTTGGTGAAACCACGCCTATTTTTTTTATCCAGCCAGCATGTTTGGGAGGCTTTCTACACTCAAACATTCACCTTCACACTGTTTAGGTTTTTTTGTCATGTGAGCACAAGACTACAAGCATTGGAGACAAATACAAACACAATGTTTAATTCTAATGAAGTGGCACACTAAACCTACACTAGACAGCCTGCGTTGGGGTTGCTCTTACACCAATGGACTTTACACTATCCACTTCATTTATTAGAAATTTGGGGCCTGTTTACTAACATAGATATTTTCTGGTTTTCTACTTCTGTTTTTTGTTCTCTAATTTTCTGTTTTTATTTTTCAGTTTTTCTATCTCCAATTTTCTGTTTCTATTTTTTAGTTTTCCATTTTCAAATCTTCAAACATGTTCAACAATTTTTTCACCCAGTTCTCCAATTCCACACCCTTGACCCTTACCCCTACCCTTACCACGATCTTACACTCTACCCATACTCCCCCACAACCCTTCATACCCACCCATACCTACTCGTAGGTGTCAGGGTAGTGGGTGGGGGTGGGGCAAGGGGTATGGTCGGGGTGGGGTGGTAAGGTCTATGGGTTGGGGGTTGGGTAGGGATAGTGGGTGGGTTAGGGTCGTGGTTAGGGGTAAGGGTGGGGTAGGGTTGGGGTAGTGGGTAGGGTTGGGGTAAGGTAGGAGTTGGGATAGGATGGCGGTAGAGTGGGGTCGGGACCAGGGTGGGACCGAGGTAGGGAAGGGGTAGGGTGGGGAGTAGGATGGCGGTAAGGGTGGGGGTAAGGTATGGTTGGGGTTGGGCTAAGGTAGGGGTAGGGTAGGGAGTTGGGATAGGATGGCGGTGGGGTGGGCCCGGGATCCGGGTGGGGCCGAGGTAGGGGAAGGGTAGGGTGGGATGGCGGTGGGGGTAGGATGGATGTACGAGGGTGGGGGTAGGATGGCGATGGGGTGGGGCCGAAGTAGGGGGCATGTGGTAAGGGGTAAGGTCGGGGTAGGGTGGGTCGGGGTGGGGTCGAGGTGGGGTTGAGGTGGTAAGGGGTGGCGGTAGGGTAGGGTGGATCGGGGTGGGGCCGAGGTAGGGGCATGTGGTAGGGGGTGGGGGGTAGGGTCATTATAGGGAAAATGGGTACGCGGAGGTGGGGGTTGGGTGGGTAGGGTAGGGGTAAGAGATAAGGTACGAGGATGGATGTATCAGAATGGAATCGACATCAGAGCAGGACCGGACCCACCACTAGGTGTAAGTATGCAAATTCATTGCAACGACACTGTAGCATCCGCGTTTTCCAAATTTGGAAAACTAATAAAAGTCACTTCTCCAAATCATTAAGGAAAAGAGAAGCATGTGTCATTTTTTTTTCGTTTTGGAAAACGATTTGGTAAACGCGTTTTTTTTTCCTTTCTCCAGTTTCCCAGCAATTTCTTTGGTAAACACGTTTCCTGTTTTCCAGTTTTCCAATTTTTTGGAAAACTGGAAAATATCTCTGTTAGTAAAGAGATCCTTGATGTCTTAAAAAATGACTCTGACCTGAGAAGCGCAAAAGTCCTCCGCTGTATTCCTACTTAAAAAGTATGAAGGTTGTTGGAATTCCAATATAGCTTCACTGGGGAGAACCAGGATTTAAATGGAAGGCTTTGCTTGATATGACTAGGATAATTCCATATTCAGGAGGTGATGGATGAAGAAGATGAAGTGTTGATGATCTGTCCCTTTTCTGAACTGTCGTCATTGAGAAACTGTGTGACTATAGTTTAGAAGACGATGCTTGAAGCATGAATTCAACTGCTCCATCACTTTATCTTATTTCATTCCGTTTAATCTTTGACTTCGGGGGAAGCATGTTTGTCTTTTGGTTTAGTGATGGAGTTATGGGAATAGGCCCAGAGCCTAATCGACCCAAGCCCCGAACTTGGACCCGTGGATCCAGATCCACAACCTGGAGCCTGCCTACCACCCCAACGGGGAGCCTGCCAGTCCGGCCGACCTGCCAGCCAGGAAAAGTAACGGTCAAACAATTAATGCGTTGTTTAATTATGTATTTAATTCCATATTAATGTTGTAATTAATTAGTCATTAATATCGGTAGCGGTTACGAATTGTATACGCCTATAAAAGGCACATTGTAATTCAAACTAAGGAGGCGAATTCTATATGCTAGTTCTGACTCTCAAACTCTCTAGCAACTTTCCATTCTCGTATTATCTTCTTGATTCCTGTTTGAGTGTTCTTACGTAGCTTTCGAAAAAGCCTACGAGCGTCCTATTTTGGACCAACATTTAGTTTGTTAGCTACTAATTTGTGTGGAAGCAATTAGGCTGCTTTGGTCGATAATAGCTTTGAAACCCTCACATGTTTAGCGATTAGTCTCGATAATTGTGGGTGAACTACTCTATCTCTGATCAGGATGTGATGAGACCTGTTGGTTATATAATGTTAGAGGGGGGATTTGGAATATTGTTGTGATTAGGTTGTTAGTTGCTACGATTTTAATATAAGTGCTCCTCTTAAAAAAAATAACTTTTAAGAACTACGGAGTAGTATTTATTTATTGCATTTCCTAATTAATTACGATTTCTTTTTTTTTTTTATAAAATAATAATAATTACGATTCCCACTCCTTATCCAAAATGTGGTAGCAACCGACTTCAATATATATCCATACATCGCGGCTATTAACTGCGATTTTTTGTAATTGAAAATCGTATACTTATCCCAAATATTTTCCTCACTCTCCCCCACAATCTCATATCTTAGAATTTATAGCCTACTGTTTTTTACGGTGGAAATTTGAAGATCAATAAGAAAAGCCAGGTAAGTTGTTAGGAAAATTTCATTGATTAATGCGATATATGAGTACATTGATGTACATACAAAATTATACACAAAACATATACATGTACGAAATATTACGATTCGATAATTCGATGCATCATTTTGTCCATCACACACAGTAAAATTTTAGGGTCATGCCTTGAGTATTCGTAACGGCTGTTTAATTAGTTGATTTTTCTTTGATTCTTTATGCTCTGAAATTCTCGTGTTCATCACGGTCTCACACGTCTTCCTTATGTTTTAGACCACACACGTGATTTGTGTGATAAATGAGTAAAAACGGTGGCATTTTGAGATTTAAAGGTTATGTAAAAATTTATATGGTTTGATCTCATTGTTTAATGTAAACTAGAGAACATTTGTTTTTTACACATTTCATATTGTAGCATACGGATCATTATGTTAAATACTTTACATTATTTTCAAGAAATATTTTTATACAGAGTATTATTTTAAAACATTCTATTTGTACACTCTTACACAAATTTCTATGTAATTGTCTGTGCATGTGGACAATGTGTACACAGGGGCGGATCCAGCTTAAGGCCAGGGTGGGCCTAGGCCCACGCTAAAAAAAAATTACTAGTATATATGTAATGTATATATTAGTATATTGTATTTTAATAGTTTTATTACACCAACTTCTAAAAACAATTCCTGGTAGTCCAACGGAAGTAAACTTGGAAAGCTTTTGCAGCATGAGGGAATGAGTTCAAATCCCCTTGGACACTGGTTTATTATAACTCTCGTATAACCTTTAATTTTTTAAAATTGTCCAAATTTTGTAATATGATTCATGTTTTAACATTATTCCTTTAAATTGAACTTCATCAGTTTTTTACATTGGACTTTTGAATGTTAGTATGAAAAACTAATTACTTCAAATAATTGGAATTTAATTACTTCAAATAATTACTTCAAAAGTTAATTGAATCAATTCATGGGGCTTTTGGATATTGGACTGAAAAATTAATTAGTTGAATTCATTGGACTTGTGAATATTACATAAACAGTTAATAAGTTCAATTCATTGTGCTTGGTGAGTGAAATTTAATTAGCTTATTTTTTTTATACATAGAGAAATAGACTATAGAGTCAAAAGAAAATTGCTTTTGGAGAAATTGACTTGAAAATTGGTACTGAATATTTCAGTAAGCGAGCCAAATTTGATTCGGTATCTATGGATTTTAAGATCATTAAAATTGTGCTTTTTTTTTTGATCGTCATTAAAATTGTGCTTGGTGAGTGAAAATTTAATTAGCTTATTTTTTTATACATAGAGAAATAGACTATAGAGTCAAAAGAAAATTGGTTTTGGAGAAATTGACTTGAAAATTGGTACTGAATATTTCAGTAAGAGAGCCAATTCGGTATATATGGCTTTTAAGATCATTAAATTATCGGTTCTATAATATTTATTTTTTCATTGACATTTCTGTAATGTTATTTAACTATATTTTTCCATTTTGACATTTTTTTGTAATATACCTTCTTTAATTAAATTTTTGCCCCACCTGAGTTCAAAAGCTAGATCCGCCCCTGTGTGTACACCTCTAATTGGGTATGTATATGAGTATATAAGCAATTAGGGCAACAATTATTTGTGCGCACATGCAATTTTGTGCAAATGTGCGTCAAGTGTATACATATTTTGTATACACTTAGAATTGTTGTATTATGTTAGACTACGGTTCTAAAAAAGGACGACGACACTCATCCCGGAGACGCCCAAAATTGACCCAATTATTTGCAAACATGTAAGTTGACTTTTTATCTCACAAAAAGAGAGTGAAGTTTCATCTCAAATTATTACTTAATTGAAGCAATGACCTCTCCTCTATGTCACACTCTTCATAGCTACGTCCCGGTTTAGATTACAATACCCAATTTTCACGGTGTGTTTGGTGTAAATGATTTGCGGCAGTTGAGGAAAGAACGGTCCCACTCAATCCCGAAATTCATGATATTTATACAAAGCGTTAAAGAAGGGCATCATCATAATCAATGTGAACTAAACTGATACTCCTAACAAAATTGGTGCAGAGGAGCATATATCCACAGAGATGGCGAATTATAGTAATAGGGAGGCAGGTCGGTGGCAGAGGGTCAACTTTCCGGCGAAGCCGCGGGGTTTCGGGACGGTGGTGAAGGCGAACCTGAAGGAGGTGCTCTTCCCGGACGACCCCTTCAGCGAATTCAAGCAGGGCGGCGGGGATCCAGCTTCCCGGTGGCGAGCGATAAGTAAGGGAGTGGTTCGGTATTTCGTGCCCATCTTCGAGTGGCTGCCGAGGTACAACCTTAAGCTGTTCAAGTACGACGTTCTCGCCGGAATCACCATCGCCAGCCTCGCCATACCTCAGGGAATCAGCTACGCCAAGCTCGCCAACTTACCTCCAATCATTGGACTCTGTATGTAGTCTATGGGGTGTTTGGATCTGATTCTCAAAATTGATTCTGCTCCTTCATGGAGCAGAAGCAGAAGGTGGAGTGTTTGAGTGAAATTCCAGAAGCACTTCTGGGGCTCTAATTTACTCTCAGAATCAGTTCTTTTAGAAGCCAGGGGTACCAGTTTCTGAAAACTGATTCTGATTCTGCTTCTTCTTTTAATAAAGAAGCAGAAGCAGAATCAGTTCCAAACACCCTATATTGCTCTCACTTCTATTTTAAGTAAAATATTTCGAATTTCGTGTTTAATTATATTATACAAGTATTATATATAGTTCGTACGGTAAAACTAAAATTAACGTTTGAGTTGGGTGAGTTATCAAAAATTATAAGGACTACTACCCGTGCTTCAAACTTTGGCATCTAGAATTTTCAAGTAGGTGTTAAATTTGGCCATGATACCTTTATAAGTTTTATGAAAGGTTTTTAACCAATAATATTTTGATATCATCTTTACATTGTGTATTATACTATTATTTCCTACTCCTTACATAATCATATTTTCGGTCGGAGTTTAACATTATTGATTAAAAAGTTTAAAGTGGACGAAATATAAGAGGTAGAGAGTGTTTAAAATATACCGAAGAGTGTCATTACGAGCCCGTTTCGTGAGTTTTTTGGTTTATCAAACTTATCGGTCAACGTTTTTATCAAATACATAATTTTTTATTTTGCGCGTCGAATTGTGTAATAATAAGAAAAAGTATGGTTGTAGTTACTTTTCTAATTGGATTGACTGAAGTTCCTAGAGCAGACCGTTTTAGCCTTTTTTCATTTTTTTTCTTTATTTAATTAATAAAATATATTGTAAATACTTTTCCCCCATAAATCAGCAGAATCAGCTAACCAACACTTAATAAACTTTAAAAGAATCAGTCAATGTAGTCGATTTGGGTATTGCGAAACAAGCTCTATGTAGTTTGATAAGCTTGCAATGAAGTGACTCATAAAATAATAATCCATATAATTTCGATTTTGTTTGTTTGTTAGTACTCCGTAAAACTTAACGGATCAAAATTACTTGTTGTATCTTAATTTACTCCGATACCATTAAGAATATATATGTATCAATGGAGGAACTACTATTTCCGGTGCAGATTCGAGCTTTGTGCCGCCATTGATATACGCGGTGTTCGGAAGTTCGAAGCATTTGGCAGTGGGAACGGTGGCGGCTTCATCATTGCTCATAGCCGCCACAATTGAAGAAGTAGTGAAACCACAAGACAATTTGGAGCTTTATGTGAGCTTGGTCTTCACTGCCACTCTTGTCTCTGGTTTGGTTCAGACTCTTATGGGTGTTTTGAGGCAATTTCCTAATTAATTGCTCTGCATTTAAATGCCTAATTGTGTTTTTATTATGTTACAATATGTTCTGTACATTTTGTTTTGCAATATGTTATGTACATATGTGTATAAAGGTTAGGAATATTGGTGGATTTTTTATCGCATTCAACAATCACTGGGTTCATGGGAGGAACAGCCGTCCTGATATGTTTGCAACAGTTGAAGGGCATTCTCGGCTTGAAGCATTTCACAACCCATACTGATGTCATTTCTGTAATTCGTTCAATTTTCGCCAATAGAAATGAGGTTTGGCCTTCATCCATTCCCTTAATTTACTCTAATTACATTCATTAATTGAGTTAAGCCTCATGTGTATTGAATGAATTCACTATCATATGTTTAATTTTGATTAAAATGACAAATATTCCACTGACATAGAAATAAGAGAAGTCAATGTTAATGGTAATAGTTTGACTTTCAAGTTTGTTTTTTTTATCATCAAAATAAATGACTTAAATTGCTATTAAAGCATTCAGATAGAGGATAAAACGATAAAAGGATCACAGACAACCGACAACCCTCGAACCAAACTTAGAGTCAATCATTTTCAAAAAAACAATATAACTCGCTGATCCTATAATGAGCATAAATGAGCCAACGACGGTTAACACAGACATCACATTACCCAATCTTAATGCAAGCGTCTTACACCAATAAAAACAACCAACAGAAAAAAACTATTTTGATTTTGCTTGAAAAAGAATTGGTTCCATACACTCCTATACAGTAGAACAAAATCACGATTAAAGTCTGTATGTGAATAATACAAAATTTAAAATGCCGCCAATTGGTTTTTATTTCACCCTACCTCACCGACCGGGCCTTTATTGACCGCGTTTAGACATTATGCCTGATAGGCTGATACGTAGTACGTTTTAAAATAATTGAGGAGTCAACATACGTCTCTTCTTCAATTATTCCTTTGCTCACCTTTTGTCTTATTGAATATTACTCCGTAGCATATTGCATAGTCCTTTGGCTAAGGACATGTTTACTTCACGGGTTACTAAACGGTGCTTACTAAAACCCGCGTTAATAAGCAGCGCATAAAAAAAGCACATTGTAAGATCGTGTTTACTTCACAAGGTTTAAAACATCGTTTAACATTAAAATGTCAAAAATAATCCTATACATATATAGACACACAAACATTCATGAACACAAGTATTATGTGTTCTTACCCATAACACCAACCCCTTTACCCCCACCCTACCTTACCCCGACCCCACCCACCCCACACCCCCACCCCCTAGGCCCTTACCACCCCTACCCCCTACCAGCCCCACCCCGACCCCACCCTAACCTACCATACTCCTACCCTACCCTACCTTGACCCCACCATTACCCCGTTCTCGACCCCTAGGCCCTTACCACCCCCGCCCACTTACCCCCTAACCCCAGGGTAGGGTGGGTAGGGGGTAACAATAAGGGTAAGGGCAAGGGGTAAATTCGGAAACTGAAAAAGCTTAAAGTACCACTTGATTAATACATGGGGGGTGGTATGCTTAGTAAGCAGCACTCTAAGCACCTATTTCGGTTAGTAAGCGGCTTTTTAAGCAGCGTGCATGTTTACTTCACCTGTCTTACTAACGTAACTGTGACTTTAGCAGCGAAGTAAACGCCTCCTTAGTAATACTATTACCTCCCTCCATTATCATTGAAATATGAGAAGATACAATGGGTATTAAGAAAAGGTTGATTTAAAATTGATAAAACAAGAATAAAATAAGAATGATATAATATTACACAAACTTTACCAAACTTAGTATATGATGTTTTTTGACGAACAGATCGAAAAGAAAAGATGAAGCAATCTTAGCGGAACAGTGAGAATAACAAATTAGGTGATAGCATATTAGCATTGTAAAACGTTTACTCTGTATATTACTACATAGTCCCATATTGGATCTCTCATTTTAGTTTGGCACAATTTTTAATAAAATGGTTAAAAAACAAAAGTTGTGTATTGTTTTAATACAGTGAAATGATATGAATAACATACTTCTTGTCGAAAAAGGAAACATGATAATCAATTTTTAAGAAATTGCATGAATCTCTTTGACATGATCTAAGAAGTAGTTGCTTGGCCAGGCATCAACGCTTGTATCCAAGTAATTAAATTAGATTAGTTTATGGAATGCAAATTAGATTATCAATTCAATATTTATTACTCTGTAATTGCTTCCGTACCTGCCCCTGGCCTAAATTCTCAATTTTTTTATTACTTCATGATGACAGTGCAATTGGAAGTCAATTCTTATGGGAGTTATCTTCCTGGCTTTCCTACAATCAACTAGATATTTGGTAAGTGTCCCTTCATACTGAAAAAGTGTACATACACTACATTATTACCAATGATGCTTGATGTACACACCCTTATATTCATCATGTTTGTCAAAGTTTGTTTTTTGTCTGTGTATCCGGCACATATTTTGTCTGTATAAATTTTGCACTAACAAATATTGTCTGTGAACAGAACTCACAACAAAGAAAGGCTTGCACAAACATGGTGGGTATAAATATGGGTATAAGGGTGAATAGAGATATCTTTTTTGCATTATTACTCCATATTCTTTTTAAAGTAGGAAGTGATCACGCTCCCTAAATATAAGTAAATCATTACCATTCTCAAAATATAGTCATACTTCATAATATGATAATATTAATGCAACAATTGACCAACACTTTGCAAGACTGGGAGGAGTAGTAATTACTCATATATACTCCGTATTTTTTAATACATGGTATTGATATTAAGCAGGGGCGGATCCAGGAATCTGAGATGCCCTGGGCTGAATAGAAATTATACTAGGCTTATATATTAGAGGGATGGGCTAAATGTGAAAAATGAAAAAAAAAATTACACTAAAAAAATTGAAAAATTTCTAAGTTGCCCTGGACTTTAGCCTACCATAGCCCGTACCTAGATTATTTTATATTAAGATAAAATAATCTAAAGATAAAACAATCTGAACCACATATTCTTTGTTATAAAAGAAAAGAAGAATTTACATTAGAAAAGAAAGTGGCATTTATTATAGGATGGAGGGAGTATCATTTATCTTAGCTTGTAATCATTAATTATTATAAAATACTTGTAAATTTTATTGTTTTTTAGAAAAAGAAGAAACCAAGACTATTTTGGGTCTCAGCCATAGCTCCATTGCTGACCGTCGTTGTTGGCTGCTTATTTGCCTTCTTTGCTCATGCGGACAAACTTGGGATCCAAACTGTAACCCTTCTCCACCCTTTCATATATGTTCAATTCCTCCATATACTTTTTGCGACATTAGTACTATTATTATGATGACGATGATGTTGTAATGGTTATTTTTATGATTATATTTGTTATTATTATTATTACTATTATTATTATGACAACAATGAATTGAACAAAATAATAATAATCATTTTGTTATAATAATATCTTAAAATTATTTTAGTAATAACGTTGACAATATGCTTTCTTAGCTTGTAGAAGCGTTCCTTGAAGTCTTGAACGACGGTCATCAAGATAACAAGGGCCCCAACAATGATATTATGATAATTTTTATTTATTGATAACAATTACTATCGTACTACGTAATTTGTTATAATGTTGACAAGGAAGCATTTTTGCATTTTTGAATTTAAGATAGTTATTATATATGAGTGCGAGTATATATGGTGTCATCGTAGGATATATTCTTATAAGAACCGTCTCCTATATATATATATATATATATATATATATATATATATATATATATATATATATATATTTTTTTTTTTTATGTGTGTGTGTGTGTGTGTGTGTGTGTGTGTGTATATATATAGACTTTGGATCAAATAAAAAGTGGTTCCTAAATGAAAAATAAGAACTAATCTTGGCCATTGATGTGAAAAAATGGATGGAAGAGATCAAATTTTAAGTTGGAAACGCGGTGGCATTTTGGTAATTATGATGATCTTTGAATGAAATTATTGTAACAAATGTGTACGAGGAATTTCAAAAAGTGAAAATGTAGAGCCAAAAGGTGCATTACGGTACATAATAAAATCTGCATAAATTAAAAGCAAATTAACAATCTTTTTATCACTTATGAGTACACTTTTGTTCATTATCTATCCACTTTATATTATAAACGTTTGCACTTTTTTGACAACGTGTATTGTGATTAAATTTCATCTAGTCCATCCATTTGCAAGTGATTAAAGGCCAAGATTTGTTCTCACTTTTCATGGGAAGACTACTTTTTACTTGATACATATATATATACATATATATATATGTATCAACACATGTATATGCGTATATTTAAATGTGTACATATGTGTGTATTCATATGTAATAAATACTACGTAAATCCTAACCCACTCTATGCATAGTAATTTCATTCCTATATATCAAAATCAATGCAGGTGGGAGAGCTAAAGAAAGGAATAAACCCTCTTTCCATACAAAAGTTGAACTTTGATCCTAAGAACATATCTGCACCTATTAAAGCAGGAACCATCACAGCCATGATAGCTCTTGCAGTATGTCCTGAAAAATAAAGAAAATAATAATAATAAATCTTTATTCTACATTAAAGTCGAATTGCTTCACCTCTGTTTCTTTATAAAATACTATAGGAAGGAATAGCAATTGGAAGAAGTTTTGCCATCATGCAAAATGAACAAATTGATGGTAATAAGGAGATGGTTGCCTTTGGACTGATGAACATTATTGGCTCTTTCACTTCTTGCTACTTAACCACTGGTACCAGCTTATTTATTTTAATTTCATATAATCTTACACAAACACAAACATGTGGCTTCTGGTCTCTATTGATGTTGTTGTACGATATGTATATCTCTTCATGTAAATATAATACACTTTCTCATGATTTTTGACTAGGTCCGTTCTCGAAAACAGCGGTGAATTACAACTCAGGATGCAAGACAGCCATGTCAAATGTTGTAATGTCCATATGCATGTGTCTAACCTTATTGTTCCTTGCCCCAGTCTTTAGCTACACTCCTCTTGTTGCGCTCTCGGCGATCATTGCATCGGCCATGATCGGCCTGATAAAGTGCAAGAAGTTCTACTATCTATACAAGACAGACAAATTTGATTTCTTGATTTGTATGGTGGGGGCACTTGGTGTTGTCTTCATTAGCATGACCTACGGCCTCGCCTTATCGGTATACGCACCATCATACTTGTTATCCCGTAATAAATATTGCATTCTTGGTTTATTAAGTCACATTCTGTCATTTTTATCTCAAATAAAGCATAAATGTATGTGTGTACAAGAGATTTAATTAACTTTTTAAAAGGGTGGTTATTGATAATTTTGCAGATAGGACTAGCTTTAGTTAGGGCACTTCTATATATAGCAAGGCCTCCTTCCTGCAAGCTTGGAAAGATGCCAGAGACTGGAGTATTTTGTGATGTTGAACAATACCCAGGTGCAATTGGAACCCCAGGCATTTTAGTTTTGCAACTTGGTTCTCCATTGTACTTTGCAAATGCGAATTACGTTAGGGAAAGGTATCATCATAACATACTTTGATTTTTCGTATGTTCTCTGTTTGATGGTAGAAGTAGATAAACTGATTGATAGGAATGATAAAAGTCGACCTGAGTTCCATTTCTAACAAGTCTACATATTTCACATATATGTAGATATATGTACCTGTGTATGTTGATACAACAACAAAACTACTGATTTGCATATATGCATTAGTCTAAACCATTGGAAATAAGATTAAACACTTTTATAAAGATTCATTCAATAAAAGTTGTCAAGTTTGCTCATGTTTACTATTCAGTTTCAAAAATAGTACCTATTCTTATGTGGGTGGTGCCTAATGTGTATGAGAGTGTGTAGATGCATATAAGCTTTAGATGAATTTTTTATTGAGAAGAATTTATAATCTTATACTCCGTATATGGAAACTTTGTACTGGGAAAGATTTGATTTTTTGATATAATTTTTTTTACAATCAATGTATAATTGAATTGACAATTCTTTTGATGTGGGTGTATGAGGAAGAATTTTAAGATGGATCAGGGATGAACAAGACGTTTCGAAATCTAAAGGACCACACATTGAATATCTACTGCTAGAGTTTGGAGGTAATTGGATTATGAGATCTTTCCTAAAAGAATAAAACATGCATATGAGATTTATTCATTTGCTTACCTATGGATTTTAAAGAGTTTCTTCTTTGAACTTTGCATGCTCAGCCATTACCTCAATTGACATAACGGGCGTTGAAACTTTGCTTGAAATCAGAAGGTGTTTAGAAGCAAAAGGAATTAAGGTACTTCACAACCCTTATCATTTTCCTACCTCAATCAATTAAAAAAGAATTTAAAAAAGAATGAATTAAAAGAAAATTCATATATTTCGTTCACAACCCAATTTTCAGATGATTCTGATCAACCTGAGACTTGGGGTGATGGAGAAGTTGATACTAACAAAGTTTATGGATGTGATTGGTAAGGAGTCTGTTTTCTTATCAATTGAAGATGCAATTGATGCTTGCAACTTTGCAATGAGAGCTATTTCAAGTTAATTCAATTGAAAACCAAGCTTGTATATTGTATGACATAGGCCCAAAAGTGGAGGATAGGTGTCTTTTGTACATATGTTTTATAATTGATGTCCAAAAGTTTTTATTCTTCCTATTCTTCCTATTATGCTTATAAGTCATAGATATAATTTATGTCAGTATGTGTTAGTGCTAATGTGTAGTCAGGTACGTAGATTTTATCTCCAAGCATGTATATATAGTCATTTTAAGTATTATAAATTAATAATACTCCGTATATTTTATGTCAATTTAATTTTTTTTTATCATCAAAACATGTCTCTATTCATATCAAAAGATTCATCAGGATCTTTACATCAAGCAAAGGGAAAATAAAACAGACACCAACTGAAACTCCAACAACTACGACTATTACCCTATGATGAGACTTTGAGACGGTCACCCCTGAGAGAGCAACACGAACCGCTAACCATGTAGTGGGCTTGACACAGCCAAAACTATTCCCATAGATCCAACCATACCCAATGACATAAAGAGAGACAAAAAACTCAAACAAACTGTCAAACCCAACAACAAGAATGGACGCAAGAAAACAAATAACAAAAACTCTAGCACCTCGTGCATCTCATGGTGGTGGTTCAGGAGGAGGTCGTACCACTGGTACCATGCTAATTGATCCACCATGACCTTTGACTGCCAAAGATCATGCATCAATCCTCCGTCCTTGCATAACCAAACTCATCCCTGCTCCGTGCGACCAAAGTAAGCGGACAGGCAGCGTCGATCTTCTCCAACGACGACACCAACGCCGCATCCTCGAAACTTGACCACACCGCCGATCTCCTCGAGCCATGACAACAAATCTGCCTTCCTCCACCGATCTCCGCCCTCCGCGTCTGACCTGGACTCCAGTCGAGCACCAGCGACCAAGGGATAACAAAACCGATCTTCGATAAAGTCGAAATCAGAAAAAGGCTCCAGCGGCTGACATAGTCAAAGCCCTAGAGAGAAAAACTCGTGATCGCTCTACCTTAGCAAAAAGCATACCACTGCTCCGCGACCAGATATGCGAACAAGAACAGCCGAACTTCAATCAATATGATCGAATTCGGAAAAAAAAAGCCTAGAGGCGGCTGCCCTAGGAGGCTAGGAGAAACGATCTGGAAGTCATACGATTGATACGATTTTCTATTATGTCAATTTAACTTTAGTAAGCTAAAAATTAACAAATCTAATGTTAAAAGTTGTTATAAATAGCTAATAAATAGCAGGACTTAAGAATTAAGATAGCTAACTACCTAACTGTTTAAAATGTACTCCGTATAATAATTATTTATCAAAAAATCAATTATACTTTTTAATCAAATTTATAAATAGATTCTGGAATGAATTAAAACACCCTCATCACTACTAGCCTACTAGGATGTTCAACGGTTCAAGTACAAATGTGTATAATACTACTCCGTATAATAGTGATTCTCAATGTACTACATACTTCAATTCCCGAATAAGTTGATCTCGATGAGCTTCTTTTAAATCCCGCAAAAGTAAGATTTTTTTAATATCACCCCAATAAAGGAATGAAATCCAGGTAGAATGAATTGAAGTTTTGATGATCTTGCTCAAGTGATGGTGAAAACAAGAAAACTTCTTTCAGATTCTTTGGTATGTAGACGTTTAAAACTTGTTTTGATTTTGCTAGTTGCCACGATAACTATTGAGAGATGATTTTCAACTATTAAAATAGTGAAAACTAATTTGCATTATAGAATCGGTGATTAGTTTTTGAGTGACCATCTAGTTTATTATTTTGTAGAAAGATATCTATTTGAGACAATCACAAATAAAATTGTAATATTTCAAAAGACGAAAACTCGAATAGAGCAAGAGCATTTGTGATATATTTACTTTATCACGTAGTAGTTTGTTGATATTGTAATATACTCCGTACTTTATTTAGTTTTGAAGTTCTCATGTACTTTGTTACGAGTTTTGCTATTCATATATATGAATAGCACCTCGTGCATCCCATGTACTTTATACGAAGTACTCTGTATTATATTATCTTTTTTATTCATGTACTTCATTTCTATTTTGCCTCCAATACTTTTATTTCCTGGATCTGCCACTGGATATAAACAAGGTAGAAGTACCGTTCAACACTTTAACCGATGTCTTA